CCAGCACAAATAACAAAATTAAGAAATTTAGAATTTCATATTTTATAAATGTAGGTAGCAGTTAATTTAGTTGGGAGATGCAATAATGGTAGATTTTGATTAAAACGACAAGTTTTGTGGTTTAAAGTGAGGTTGTTTTTCGGTGCACAGTAGTTTATTTTTGTAGTGCCCTGTTACACAATATTCCTTAGAACTTAACAATAGTATTAATTTTACATTGCAAATATTTTTGAAATGTTCGATGCTCTTAAGTCTCTTTAACAGAATAAAAGAAATGACATCATTCAACTCGAGGCGTATTTCAGCCGGGCGGGCAGTCATCAGCCTTTTAATATGGGGAATTTTGTGATGAGACTGACTGAAACCGGTCTCAAATGCATTCATGACTCGGGAAGCGCTTTCTTCTTCAACCCCATTAATAACTCAATTTTTTATGAATTCAACTTCGAGGATTTATGAGTTGAAAGTACAAAATACAATTGGGGAAGCGAGTCAAATGTATTGTTTTCTATATGAGTTGGCAGCCTACAGAGCTGCGTTTCCTTTTTGAAAAGGGGTTTTCATTCAATTTTGGCTCATTCGTTGTAGGCCTGAATTTATTGCTTTTTCTGGTCGCGTGCTGCGTGATCAAACGAAACAATGATTTTATTTTTTTATCATTTGGAGTGGAGTCTGTCATTTCTTCCGTTGAGTATTTGGCTTTCTCCAAGACTGTCTCTCTTGAATCATTGCTGAAGACGTTCGTACTGGTGTGGGCATCGAATCTTTCTTCAATAAAGGTTTTTTGTCTAAGATCGGCAACATCTTTGAAACAAATTCCAATGTCAATGTTATTAGGAAGTGAATCGGCAGAGGTTTGATTTATATCATCTGTTTCTTTATGAAAATTGGAATCTTCACGAGTGTTTGTTGCGTCCGTACATGTGACGACAACTTCGGGCAGGATGTTGAATTTCGGCGGTTCTTTTTCTTCTGCATTTGGCCAGAAATTAGCGGACATCATTTTATACTCGCACCAACGGTCTTCGGTCTCGCAAGAACGATCTCTGGTCTTCACACTGAAACCGTCATAGTCGTCCTCTGCCTTATGAGAACTGTTTGAATAGAGGGATTCGTAAGAGAAACTGGTCGGCACCCGTCCGAAGATTTTCAGGTATTTACTACTTGTGGGCTCCGCATGCAGTTGGTCGATAAATCCTAAATCACTGTCGGCAGGTTTAAAATTGAAATTTTCTTGTACAGCTGTTTTCGAAGCCAGGGTACGTCTTATCGATTCAAGCTGTTCTGCGAGTTCATTCGCATCAGCACTGTTTTCTGATGTCTGCGTGCCGGATGATGTTTGGGTATCTGTGAATCCCGTGTGAGATAGAATTTTACAAGGGTGCATTTGGTTGAGCTGCTGCGGTTTCAGAAATATCATTTCACTCGTTACTTCGCACAATTTAACAGTTTTAACTGTTCCGATTTTCTTTCTTTTTTGATTGTGATTATTTCTCTTCTTTGACGAACTGACCAAGCTTCTTCTAGGCGTTTTATCTGCGATTTTACCACTCTTGCACGATACTAAATGGTTGTTTAAAATAAAAGGTTTTCTCGACATCCTACTGAATTCATATACCTGTGGAGTTGGTTGCCTGAAAGCTTTCAGAACGTTCGCACAGTCGAACGAAGAGAGGAATTGAAGAGGCCAAGATTTCTTTTCCTCGTCCATCGATCTGCTCCTTTCGAATTTGATGGATCTTATAAGTGCACCAATAAGCTTTTTACTGTCACGTGTTCGGCGGGTTTTGGACAAAACACCGTCAAGAAGATCGACCACGTTTTTCCCTCGGAGTTTCTCGACGATCTTCTTGTCGGTGTCGTCATTCGTCAGAATGTTAACTAAACTCTTGACGTACTCGTACTCTTTCAAAAACGCGGCTTCTCTCCTACTGGCAATCATGACACCACAAAAAATATTATCCTAGCTAAAGTAACTACTTTTTTTATTATTCTAAGTATGTTATATAGCAATTAATAAAAAAAACCTCGACATGTGTTAAGATATAATACATCTAAGTCCTTAAACTGTTTGTTTAATTGAACTATCATGATTCAGATCTGTTCCATCAACGTTGATTATAAAATTCGAGCAAACAATAGCCCTTCTGCCCTTTTATTCAATTTCCTTCTCTCAGTTTCTCATTTCTTGGTATGATTCTACTTCTCATGGTTAACAAAAAATTATTTAGGAAAATTACATTAATGAACATGCACCCTGAAATTCCCTTCAAACGTTTCTGCAATTGGAAAATGAATTTTGTTCAAAAGTGTCGCTCAAATATTTAATTAGATATTTATTCAACATATTGTTTTAAATATAAATACATATGTACAACAGCACATTTTGTTTTGTTTAAGTACTCCATTCCTCCCTTGTGAAATGCTGCTCTCCCTCCCTTTTCCTATCATGCAAAGAGTACGTTATGTAAACTCGAGCATTACCAGAAAACGCGCGCATCGCCTCGTTATACCCCGACTGCACCCATTTCATAATTTCCCATTAATCGTCCACTTCATCGTGTAAAAAATCCAATATACACAAATTGGTATATGTACCTTGTGAAGCACATGTTATTAATCCCTAAAAAAATTTTCTCGACAGCAATGAAAAGGCAATGTAATAATTTTAGTAAATAATTATTGCCATCCCGTGGGGCCAGGACGATATTTATCAGGAACAGAATAATGCTCAAAGATAGAGCGACTTCTTCTAATATTATCTAACTTCAAAACTGAACAGTTACAATAATACCATGGTGATGATGTTATGAAACTTTGTGCTCCCTAGCTACTGCAGCCTTTTGGCTTATTGTACATCCCTTGTTCAGAGCAATCGCCCCCTTTCTTCTTCTCGGAAGCATGAGGTTATTGACTGATGCTACAATTTCATTCTCTAGGTTTTTTTATGCTAGGTTAAATCTCCTTTGAGCCCTTGCTTCGCATTCGAAGATGATATGGGTGGCAGTTTCCTCCTCCTCATTGCATAACCTGCAGATGGAATCATCATTATATATGCTCATGTTGTAGATCATTTCTCAGATGCCAGTGACCGGTTAATAGTCCTATCACTCCTCTGAGACCTTCTCCAACTGCAGCAGTGAGTTTGCCAGTCTTGGTGGCAGTTTCCTCCTCCTCATTGCATAACCTGCAGATGGAATCATCATTATATATGCTCATGTTGTAGATTATTTCTCAGATGCCAGTGACCGGTTAATAGTCCTATCACTCCGCTGAGACCTTCTCCAACTGCAGCAGTGAGTTTGCCAGTCTTGTTGTGGGTTGTTTTAACATAAGTCTATTGTGTCACGCGCCGCTAGAGTTTATCCATTTCCCCTTTTGTTTTATTTGGATCCATTCTGCGATGGAGGATTCTGGAACACCATGGTATTCACGGGTTATTGGAAACTTCGATCATAGAAATAGTTAAGTTGGAGTGAGTATATCAATTCAATAGTTGCAAACGATAGTTCCACTCTCAAACCTTTTTTGGTTTTATCCGGATTTCGAGTTTTCAGTGACAAAATCGAGATCCGGAAAACAGTTTGTGAGTAAAACTATCGTTTTTGACTTTTACCCTCACACATATTATACAGGCACATATTAAAGTGTGTAAATGTCTGAGCAGCCCACGTAGGGGGAACACTAAATTCAAATATGTAGCTTAAATCGAGTGTTATGACAGTTTGGCACCAGGTACCTGCTTGTATGCTTTTTTTTATTCGATTAGTTTGCTATCATGGTAATGTGTGATTTTAGGCCCTGAAGTGATCTCAATACAGAACGAACACGGTATTAGTGACCGTTACTCGATGATTATTCGGAAATCGTGAGATGCGGTCTGATGTGACGTAGGTTTCAGAAAAACATTTTCTTTATCGGGCCAACGTTTCGATCTTTATTGAGATCCTCTTCAGGGCCTCGGATTTACAAACAATACTCTCAACACGACACGCAAGAATGGCACAATTACACAGAAAACAAACGCTTTGAGTGAGAAGAAATAGTTTGATTGAATATAAAAAATATTTTTTACATTGTATACATTCACTTTTTTCCACATCCTACATGTATTTGTTCCGTCGAAATATAATATGATACATATATCACAGACCCACAAGAAAAGTGACACAAGCCGAAAAATTATAATAACAGATTATTTAGTGTTTTTTTAAGCATTCGGGTGTGTGATGCTACGGAAAAAGTTATACAACTATAGGTGGATTCTTAGCTGCTAGGGAGCACCATTTGTCACTTTTGAATTGGCGGAAACGCACTGACTCCACTCACGAAAAGTGGCAAATCTTTATTCTGTGTTGAGCGTTAAAGCATCGGTATGAGTATTTATCAGGAAAATAAATCAGTTGTTATAATAACCGACCAATGTTTTTAATACCCTATTCACTGCTGGTCAAGAGATCAATAATCGCCACTTGGAGCATTGATACATACATGATTTACAGTTTATTTGCATATTGTCACTCACATGGACAAAGTGATTGTAAATATGTTGGCAACCAGCAAGAAAGAAACTGCCATCAGTAATGATAATGTCAGTTGTCAAATTCCACCTCTTTGGCAACTACTTTAAGGCAAAGTATTATCGAAATTGGGTCTTCTCGTTGCACTTTGATAGCGGGTAATTGAAGAAAAGTTTGACCTGCCTTTGATGCTGATAGTTCTGATAAGTTAAAATTATTTTAGTTTTCAATGTTAGAAGTATCGATTATTTTTTCACTCACGAACACTGGATCAAGGTGTAGTCTTCAACAAAAAATCAAATTCAGTTCCTAACACCCAAGCTTTCGATCTATTTTAAGGACATCATTACGGCCTATATTAATTTCACGTTATGAAAAACAAATGTTAAATCAATTGTATAAATATGATTTTTGAAATAAGAAATAGGCCGTGATGATGACCTTAAAATAGGTCGAAGCTTGGTAGTAACAACTACTTGGATATCTCACTAGCCACCATGCCTTGCGCCAATTGGGTAAAGGGGTGGAAGGTGACACCAGGTAAGATCTCTTCAGATCATTGTTTAATAGATTTTTGGATCTCAGGTGAAGTTGAAAAAATAAGGTTTAGGAATCCAAAACAGACAAATTGGGATTCCTACATCAATAATATTAATAATAATATTACAGGTACACCTGCTCCTACCAATATAACAGAGCTGGAGCAGGCTGCTAACAAAATCATACAGGTCATTAACTCTGCATATACGGAGGCATGCCCTGAAAAAATACTACGCCAGAATCGACATCATTGGTGGAACAGAGCTCTGGCTAGTGCGAGGAAAAGGGTCAGAGTCTTACACAAGAAAGCCCTGCAGGAGAACTCTGAACTGTCTTGGAGAGAATATCTCTCCAAGAAAAAAGAATACAAAAAAGAGTTGAGGAAAACCAAACGAAAGGCCTGGAGGGAATATTGTCTGAAGACAGAGAATATTAAGGAAAGTGCTCGAATTTTTAAACTTTTGGAAAAGGATTATATTAATCCACTAGGTCTATTGCAGGACGAAAACGGGGTGTACTGCACAACAAGCGAGGAGACACTGAACCTAATGGCAAGGGCCCACTTCCCAAGTTCAGGCTCCTCCGACACCCAAACCATGAATAATACACCTATGCCGAATTGGAGGAAGGCATATGAAGTGATCTCTTGGGACGCATACAAATGGGCGGTATGGTCNTATTCTCTAACTCTAGGAGGGGAATAAGGAGGCTGATAGGTATCCTAACGGGCCATTGCCCCTTGAGAAGACACCTCTTCATAATGGGTACTCTACCAGACCCCTTCTGCCGCTTCTGCGAAACAAAAGAAGAAACGGCCCGACACTACCTCGCAGAATGCGATAGGTATGCTAGGGAAAGATTTAATACTTTCGAAGGAGAGGACATAACCAAAACACTCCCCAGGATAAAATGGTCCACAATCCTGGGGTTTGTGAATAGGTCCAATAGGTTTATACAGGACTCGTGAGCCGACCAGGTCTCGGACTTTTTAGGGATGGGGTACGGGCCTACTCAGGCTTTTAACCCCTCGGGTCCTGGTCGCCCGCCCTGTGTAATATATATATGGTAGTAACAACTGAATTTGTTTTTTTCTAGGCCATTCCTTGAACCAGAGTGTTCATGAATTATTTTAGCTTAATTTCTTTTATTTTAATAACGTTCTGAATTATAATATTGTTTTTTCATGTTTTTTTTAACAATTTAATCTTTTTACTTTTACATTATGTTATAGTTTCAAAGATTTTTTGAATGTTTTAATTACATTGTATTTAATAATCAATAAAACCTGTATTTCAATAATAAATTTGGTATTTTAAATAACTAATTAGCCCTGACTACAGGAAGAAGAATTAGTTTGGGTCAAAAATAATCTTAGTATAACTTACTACATGAATATTTATGCATGTTTGGTAGATTTGTATGTTGTCTGTTACTATCACAAAAAAATTAATAACCTTACAGTCATTCATTGATCACCATCATTGTTAGAGCAAACAAACTTATTTAAATTACTGCGAGCCAATACATGCAAGAAAAGTGACAAAACTCAAAAAGGGGTAGTTTTTAAGGGTACCGCTGGATTTTTAAAGTTTTGTGTTTTTGCTTTGAGTGAAGTCTAGGAGAAACGAAAGACAATACTGATGAATCATGGCAGTTTTTATTGCCGACAAACATACTTGCGTGTACTTAATATTTAAGTAAAACAGTAAACTTCCATCTGTCTCTTGTAAAATTATCTTTTTTTTTTGTTGAGTTTTGTCACTTTTTTTGTAGGTGTGCGATATATGTATATATGTAATAAACGGATAAACCAAATGTTTAATGTGTAGAGATTAGTGACCGTTAATCGATAGTTATTCAGATATCGTGAGATGCGGTCGGGTGTGATGTAGGTTTCAGAAAAACATTTTGGCATGATAAAGAAAATGTTTTTCTGAAACCTACATCACACCCGACCGCATCTCACGATATCTGAATAACCAAATGTTTAATTTTAAAATTACACCAGTAAGGACGAATTTCCAGTTTGAATTTTTACGTTCTTTCGATAGAGGAGGACCAGAAAAATGAAATCTTCTGTTTAATTCGAATGTCCAAACCAACCAAAGTGTTTTTAAAAACAACTCTTATTGAATTTTGCTGGATAAAAGAGTTGAGACGTTCTAAGACTACGAATGGAAAGAATAATTATTAGATGTCTCTTCGTAACGAGATTAAACTGGAGAGGGAGAAAATGCAGTTTGATAGTTTCTAAGAATATTGTCAATATTGTCAACACGTGTCGTTCAGGGGGAAAGTGTAACTTATACATTTTACGATGATGAATTCGAAGATAAAAGCATGCAAGGCTCGTGTATGAAGATAATTTGTTATTACATGCATATATTGTTTAATTTGAAGAGTTTTATAGAAAATCAGCTTTCGCCATAGGCCGTTATTATTGATGCGGCCTGTTATTTGAATGAATAAAAGGCTATTAAAGAAGTAAAAAATGAGTGATTTCACGGTTTTCACCAGCGATTTCGGCCATTCTCACGTCTGTATCGATGATCTGTTGTACAGTGTGTGAAGATGAGAAAAGATTCAACGAGACAATATCACGAACTATTCTTACCACGAAAATCCTTGAATGTGATTTAAGTTTCTAAGGTATATTCTACAAGTATATGATATGAAAATTTATTTTTACACTTGTTGTGTTGTACGGCTCAAATGTAGTAAGAAAAATTGTTTTGGTGTTTGAAAGTAAGCTGGCTAATGTTCAAGCGATCGCATAGATAAGTCAATGCAGTATTTTGTCTGACGGCTGTGAATATTCTTAATTGAAGAATAATCGTGTGTAAAAACAAAATTTGCTCACATATGTTTTTAAACGGTATTCGCATTAGCCATGATGCTTATCTGTGTGTAAATCGATGGGATAATTATGTTTAAGAAAAGAGGAAACGTTAAAAAACATGAGAAGAACTGTGAATTGGGATGGACGGGGTTGACTGGTGGGGGTACAGTATATAGCGAGCGGTGCCGGCAATGCCGCTCAGTCGTCTCCGCGCCCCTCATGTGTACGAAGTACGGTTGTATCCAGTTTGAAGCTAGAAAATGAGGTACGCAGAGTTTAATATGAAAAACGAGACGACGTACGTGGATTTCGCGATGGACGGGCCGATAATGGCCAAAGTTGCGGCGATGGTGTCGCTCGCGGTGACTTCGTTCCTCTTGGGCATTCTGCCGATCAAGCTGGCCTCCATCCTAAAATGGAACACCTCGGAGACGCACGGGCACGGACACGGCACTCCGCAGTGTCTGCCGGTATACATACTGCTCAGTTTCGGCGGCGGCGTCCTTCTCTATACGACTTTCATGCACCTGCAGCCGGAAGTCAGGGAGGGCATGGAGGTAGTGTCCAAAACAGGCATTATTCCCCATTCTCTCTTGGATTCTGGGCTTAACCTCTCCGAGCTGATATTCTGCCTGGGCTTCTTCTTCGTGTATCTCATTGAGGAGCTAGTTCACTCTCTTCTCGACAGAACTAAGGACGAAGAAGACATGCTGGCACTTCACAGGTCCATCAGTATAAGGAAAAAGTGCAGAGCAGGCAATCTGATACCGAGAATCCAATTGCCGCAGCCGAACCAGTCGCCGCCGTCTACTATTACCGCCAGCACTCAAGTTTTGATTAAAGACAGCTTCTATAAAAAAAACTCTATAGATCCTGTGGAAAATATGATACCCCCGACGAACGTTTTCGCGCCGTCCGAGGCCGGATCAGACCGTACGTTACCAAACGATACAGCGAATTCGGTCGCCAAGTCTTTCCGGGGTTTAATCGCAGTCGTGGCTCTGTCGTTCCATGCCGTTTTCGAAGGACTTGCAGTTGGTCTGGAGAAGGACACGGCCAACGTCTGGTACCTCTGTGCCGCTGTGGCGACTCACAAATTGGTCATCGCCTTCTGTGTAGGTGTCGAGCTGGTCTCCACCGGCACAAAAAAACTGCTCGTCGTGCTCTATATGGCCACCTTCGCTCTCGTCACCCCCCTGGGGATCGGCATCGGCCTGGGCATGACATACCACGAATCCTCGCTCGAGTCACCGCAAATGGCGCTCGCCTCCGTCATTCTTCAAGGGCTCGCCTCGGGCACACTTCTCTACGTTGTGTTTTTTGAAGTCTTACAAAGGGAAAAACTAGGACGACACGGGATGGTGCAGTTCCTCTCTATAATGGCTGGATTTATTGTTATGGTCGGCCTATCTCTTATAAGTGAGTATACTTCATTTGTTTATATAATTTCAGTAGCAAACTATTGTTTAATAAAGACAGAAACAATATGCTAGTCGGCCAAACCGAATTTTTAACGCCTCCTGCGAGTGGACCGCTTTGATTGTATTACATTCCTTTCCAATAAAGCCTAAGTCAAAGTTGATTGACACTGATTGGTCGCAGTTTAAAAACCAAACAGCTTTATATTGATACCAATTAATTGTTAAATTGATAACAAAAGCACAAACAATCCCATTTGAACTTATTAAACTTGCTCCGAAATAGTTCTCATCACGCATGCAAGACTCCACCGAAACCAGGAAGCAATCATTTTTGCATGACTGGACTGCCTTAAATAGCACTTACAATTAAGAGTAACAAATTTTGTAGGATGACACTTTAAAAATTAATTTTTTGTACACACTGCGTAATGTATTATTACGGGTTTTGTATAAACATTTAATCAACTTAACTATTCCAATACTTTTTGCCATTTGATAATACTGAGATTCTCCTCCCACTAAGTAAAAATTAAAGATAAATAAATACAAGTCGTTCAAATCGAACAACTGTTCAAAATTAAATATTGAAGAATATAGTGAACATCATAAGGTAGCTGTTTCACAAATATTTCATTTAATTATTTAGTGTATGACAATCATAAGTTTTTTTAGGATAGGATACTGTTTGTTTATTTTTGTATGCATTAATTTAGGCTCAGCTGTTTACAATGTGCAATTATCCTAATTGCCTTTAATTCACGATCTAATCTGAATCAGGATTGTCTTGAATCACCGGCCGATTTAGGAAAGACTAGTCGAATCAATTTATTCCACCATTTCTGCCGAGTTTCAATCTAAACGATCATGAATGTCAAGGCCCAGTAATTCCCAAGAGCAATTACGGCGAATCGTGCATGTTTACAATGCGTACGAGCGCATCTACTGTCAAATTATCCTCGCGGTTTGGATAGAATTGGCATAAATTATTTCACCTACGACTTCATTGTTTTCTGGTTTGCACGTAGGCGGGTCGTTTGTTTTATTGTCACTGATTTGCCGCAACGATAAAGAAAAACAGATAGCTAAAGGCTGACCCAGTAACTGGACTTGAAAGTCCAGACCTCGGCCGGCCGGTTTGTCCGAAGGACTTGTATAACCGGCAACCGTTTCAAGCCGCCGTCCGGAGAAAGACGACGAAAGGAAGATGGACGCCGTCTTGGCACGGGCTACGGAGAAAGTAGCTACGAGTATTGGCGAGGTGGTTGAACTTTATTTAAAATTATTTCGCCTGCTCGTGGGGAACCTGGAACCGCGCAGATTCGTTTCCATTTTCTAATAGTTTCAAAATACTTCATAATTTATAACACAAAATAGAAAATTCTTGAAAACCGTCGGTCTGGGCTAAAAATGAACCGTAGGCAAACCATTCTATCATAATTCCAAAGACCAGAAATCAATATTTTCATTCTTCAATCGATTCTTGTTTTACCACTCATACTTACTAAACTGCTATAAGATAATCAGGTATATGAAAATAAGCATTTGACTGGTAGGCTTAGAAGAAAACCAACTGTATGTATCTTTCTTTTAAATTAAGTCGTTCCTTGACAAACTTGGCGAATTGTTGTTTAATCCTGTCACAAAGTATACAATTTTGATGAAATTCCAACAACCAAATATGTACATATTTGGAAGAGATCACTTTTGACTAATGAAAAACAGCGGTACAAGACGAATGAAAGGTCATCAGTGTTGTGACGAGAGACTCCATTGGTAATTAATTGGTGAATTAGCAATGGAAGCAAAATCGCTAATTGATTTACCCATGAACTGCTTACAAGAACAAAAATAATATGCAAATAAAACTTTAAGATAACGTAAAAATACAAAACATTTGATGACCAGCAGCCCTCTTCAACAAACATGGATGGCTTCTTCAGAATCTGCCTGATAGATATTGGAAATGATGGTATATTCGTAACTTAAGAGTTGTTACAAAGAAAACAAATATTATGGTCTATGGACTAATATTAATGGCATTAATGGTGAAAATTGTAACTTCATCTCATAAATGGCAGATAATTTTTTAAAAATATTGTACACCAAGATAATCTTTTAAAATAAAAAGATCAAACTGTCGACTTGTCACTTCTTACAAACTGTGATTTTACCTAAAGTGAATGTTTGGGTTTCTAATGTCTTTATTAATAATAATATTACAAACTATAAAGGTGCATATAAGTTAAGGATTTACGTTTTTACCATTTTATATTCTTCTAATTCATAGTGTACGAGATTGTACTTGTTTCTTTCTATTTCAATCCATTTTCCGATTAGTGATTAGCTCGTACTCGGAAGTAAAATTAATCCGGTTGCAGTTTTGTGAGTTGGTTAGTGGAGCGTTGTCCAAAGTGCATCGACCCTGGATCGGGTGTGTTCACAGTCATAATCGAGGCGCGTCATGCATGCTAAAACGGAGAGAAGGAAGTGTGTCCTGCGAGGTTGATCCTGCCGGCAATCCCCGGCCAAAAAAACAAAACAAAACAAGGCACTTTTCTAGTTGTTATTGCTAATTTGCAGCTTCGAACCGTCTGTTACGAAACACCGAGACCTGCCGAGTTGGTTGGTTCAAAAATGTCAAATGTTCAAACAAAATGATCAAATCAATGAACTGTACAATTCCATATAAAAATTTAACATGGAAAAAATTAAATTTTGAAAAAAGGACACGCGATAATTATAGATAAATTGACAAGTTAACAACGTTTCTCGTGTCATTTAATAACATTTTAAACGTCTTTATCGTGAGAGAGTAATTTTATTTTTTAGAAAGTAGGAAGTGAAAATATCATTCAACCTGGCAAATCGCTTTATAATTATAAAAATATAAAATCCAAAACATTTTATGGCCGTAATAGTAGTTAAAATAAATAACGAAAGTTATATACTCGCAGAAAATTAAATTTCCTCTAAGCTTCAATCGACATTCTTACTTACTGTACCACAGTAAGGATAAATTGAAACATTTCACGACAATATTTATTTATAATCAAAGATTAAGAAAACTTAAAAATGAAGGTTTTGGATGATTACCGAATTTAGTTGCACTATTTTGTTTGACAATCACTGTCAACCACCAGAAAGAATAAAATGGAAAAAGCAACACGACCCAAAAACAAATAATTAATCAAGCTGGCACGATGTGAATTTTATACGTCTGATTAGCTATCCCAAAGTTGATTGGTATTAATTTTTTATTATACAAAAAAGTACAAAAAAACTTAAATTATATTCAAATGTTAAATTGAAGTTATGAATCTATTTAACACTTATCAATAAAACGTTTTGAATAAAAATAGAAGAATACTATTCAGTTATTTAAATATTTCAAAATACTGAATATTAAGAAGTTATTTATCAAATGTTCCGGCATTCACATATTAAAAACCAAAATTATGCCACAATTCTTGTATCACATAAGATATAATTCACTAGTTTTCGTTATCCGCTTGACCAATTAATATCTTTCAATTAATTAAGGTTTTTAGTTGAGATAAAATGGTAAAAAGGAGGGAAAATTCAAAAGGTGGGGTTGAGATGGGAAATTAGTGTCCGACTGGATCGAAGTCACGATAGCTCAAGTGGTAGAGCCGCGTATATAGCCGAAGGTCGTGGGTTCGAATCCAGCTCGTGACATTAACTTTCTAATTTCAACCAAAACCTTACTTAATTGGAAGATAAGATGTAATGCCACTATAAAATTAGTACTTCTTAAATTACACAACATGTAGGTTTTATTACTCTTGACCCTGCGGTAAGATTCCTCTATAATTCGAAGACAAATCTACTTAATTTTCCAACATTGTTTTTATTCAAAAAATATATAATTAATATATTATTATTCATGTAGAAAATCAATGGTTACTATAGCCCAGTCATTTACGGTAATTTTATTTCATTACAACTCCTATATATAATTTTGATTCAATTATAAAACATAAAATTCATAATTATTACAACTCTTGCCTTCAACACAAGGTTTCTTACTGAAGGCAGGCTGTATGATTTATTTTATAATTATATGTGTACTACATATTGTAAAATGTCTTTTCCGAACTTGTAATAAAATATATTATTATCGAAAACAACGTACGGACTTCTGTTTTGATGTCCAATTTTCAATTTGGCTATATTTTTTGTATTGAGCAAATGGGTACAGGGAAAGGACGAGTAGATCTGGAACAATGTGTGGTTATTATATAGAAAATAGTATCATTAAAAAACTTGAAATACCCCAGGAAATGTTATGCTATAATTTAATTGAAGCGTTTTATCCATTAGATTTATCGGAAGAAGAAATGAGTAATAGAGCTGTATTATAGCAAGAAATTATGAAGTGAAAAAATCAATCATCTTATTGTAAACGACTATCAGAGGAAATAGTTAAGTGTGTTTACTAAGTCAGCGATGAAAAGTAATTTTACAATATCCTATAGAATATTTACAATCAGTAGTTTACCTCATGCAGAACTTAATACCAATATGTATAGCTATGCTATTGAGAAATTTAAGCATAGAAGACGGTTTGTGTAACGGGACCCGTTTGATAGTAAGAAAAATTGATAGGTTTATACAATAAATAAACTGGGAATAAAATGGGAGATTACACATATTTTTAGACAAAGAGATACCTAATGCCAATTGTTTTGGAAACGGTTGCAATTCCCAGTCATTATAGCATTTGCTATAACCATAAATAGATCGAACTACAAAGTTTTGAGAAAAATGTATGTAGCCCTATCGAGGAGTGAGACAAAGATGGGCATTAACATAGAAATAACATATGAATTAACAAAGAAAAATCCATTGAAAATATTGTTTAGAACGAAACGTTGGAGTAGTGTACAAGTTACTTTTTTTATCAAGCCAGTCGAAAATCGAGAGGCGCGTAAGTTCTTGAGCTTGTTTATTTGGAGTTACTCTTTTTTATTTAGTAAA